TGCCCGCTGGGTTACTCCGGTTCATTATGCGAGGTAAATATGAACATATATTTGCTACGTACTGCTAACATACGATTTCAAAGAGAACAAAAATATACATATATGAAATTTAAATTTAAACATTTCAATGGAAGAGGTGAAAGTGCATATCGATACCTGAGTGGAGATCGACCTATCTCAGCATCCAATTCGAAAACGCCCTATCGCAGGAAACTTTTCAAGGACACCCTACTTCAGATTTTGATTGAAAAAACGTCTTAACTCAGAATTTGGTTGAAGAACGCCATACCTCAGCTGCCGTTTCAAAACCGCCCCTTCTAAGCAAATTTTCAGTGTATTTTCGACTGGGATAAAGCTTTTTTGAACCAAATTCTGAAATAGGGTGTTTCCAATAAAATTCTGAAATAGCGCTTCTTCAATCAAATTCTGAAATAGGGCCTCTTCATTCAAATTCTAAAGTATGGCATTCTTGAAAAGTTTTCTGAGATAAGGCGTTTTCGAACTGGCTGCCGCGATAGGTCGATCTTCCACTCAGGTGACGATATATGCTTAACTGATGAATTAAGCGGAATTTTAATATGTGCAGCCCTGCTAAATACAGTTCAGAAATAAGAGTTTTTCAAAACCCCCTTTGATTGATAGCCATATTTACACAATTCATATAACTTATAAAATATTTTGAATTTAATTTTGTAAACAGTTGTGTATAAGTAAACTAAATTTTACATTTCTAGCAGGTGACAACGCTCTTCAAAATATTTTCAAGCTTTTTTCCGAAACCCCTTGATACCCATATTACATATATTTCTCTTACTTAATATGATTTTTTAAGCAGGTGGCAACTCTCCTATAGTTCAGTTAAGAAACAAAGCTATTCAAAACTATTTCGATTGATACCCAGTTTGTAATAATTGATTTATTTTTTTAATAGTTTCAGTTTAATTTTTTTAAAGGTGACAACTCTTTCAAAAAAGTAAAACCCATTTTACATCTACAGTCCAAGGCTTTTGGTTTGATGCCTCATTTTGGAAAATCCATCGAACGGTGCGGATTTGATGGCATTGATTATTAAATAATTTCAATTTAAGTTTTTAACAGATGGCTACTCTTTTCGAAAAACTTAAACCAGTTTGCATATCTAAAGGTCAAGTGCTTTAATTTGACATCTCATTTCTGAAAATCAAGCAAACGGAGCACATCTTTTGTTCTGGAGAAAAAATCCCTTCGCGTATAATATATGTATATTCCTTTACCTAAAATGATTTTTTAAACAGTTGGCAAACCTTTTAAAGTGAGGCAGCTCATTTCAGAAAATTAAGACGTCNACCTCACTTTGGAAAATCGAACGAACCTTGCGAATATGATGGCATTGTTTATTAAATAATTTGAATTTAATTGTTCAACAGGTGGCAACTCTTTTCCAAAAAATAAGACAAGTTTGCACATCTACAGGCCAAGCGCTTTAATTTGACGCCCTAATTATGAAAATCAAGCGAACGATCTTTTATGCTGAACCAAAAATGCGTACGAAAAAAAGCTTGGCTTCTCCAAGCGGCACATCTATCTAGGTTTGCTTTCCCACCCAAAAATATTTTCACTCAAATAAAACCTCTGTTTCTTGGCACGGAGCTGTGCTGACATTATTGGTGTTGATGATGCTGGATTCTAAGTAAGACTCGTCCTACACTACTTTAAAGCTATAATGGCTAATAATGACGTGGGTACCAACATTGATTACTTGCCACACTCACTAAGCTAGAATTGGTAATGTCATTGCATCCGCCAACAACATCGTGCTGCAAATTGTAGCGCTGCAATTCAGATGAGCGACACGTAATTATTTATTATTCATACTAGCATCAGATTTAAGGAAACAGAGCTTAAGTAAGGTATCCGGTCTAAGCCCCCCGTGTGGTTACGAACGGCACTGAGATGTCCTTTCAATAGCCATATTAGTTTTGTGGTAATATCAAAATTTAAACATGGCATCGTAGATGTAACTTCTCCTCATGCTGTCTAAGGTGGCTCCAAAATCGGCAAAAGGGTTTTTATTTAAAGCTTTTTCCAGGATTCGACGAACTTGGATTCCGGATCACAGAAATAAATTTGAAAAAATCGAGAGAATCAAAAATTGTCTTTGTCACTGCCTGGAACTGGCTAGACTAAGGCGACGGTCTATAGTCCATGGACAAGGTAACTAGTTATCTTTCTGTATAAAGGGTCATAATCAAAATTAACAAAACAGACTCATTTTGCCCTGAGTGTAGCTCCATTCCATTACCATATTTGGGCAGCCACAATAACCTAACTTAACCTTAATCAGGGGCACCGAAAAGCTTTATGAATATATCGATGCTGGTGGTGCTGGTTGGCTGGAGGTATACATTTTTCTGTTGTTGCCCAAATATATTCGCGAAACTAGTGGTCAAAAATTGTAAAACTACGTTGTTGGTTTTTCTCTCTGACGTTAGGGTTTTTCTTGAAAGGACCTGGAAATTTTAAATTTGTGATTAATCCAAAAAAATATGTAATAAAAAACTTAGTGCAATTTAGGATAACAATATGGTTATCATAAAAAGAGAAATTCCACTAGAAATTTGTGGCTATCTCATGTCAGCTATACTGTAGCAGACCCCTTATTTTTTGCATCCATGCCCTGACCATCAAATTTCCTGTACTGCGGTGATGTCAGCCATGTATTTATTTATAGCATCCAATAGTTGGTTGGAAGCACCTTCCCTATACCATTTCCAGACATTTTAGTTGCGTATCCGTAAATCGTAGCCCTTGTTTCGTGCGAGGGCTCATCATCAATTTCCTTTTTTTTGTTATTCTTCTTTTTATATTTATGTACCTTTTTTCCTATTTTTTTAGCTTTTCTGTAACATGTTATTTACCTATCAACACCTTATTCAAACAAAGCTACAAAAAATTAGTTTGGCTAGAAGCACCAAAGTCAGCATGACGCAGCTAAGGTCATACAAATTGCCGATGAAATTGGCACTCCATAACCTAATTGTTAGATAAAATATTTGAAATGTTCAAATGTAATTTATTTCCTGATTTGGTTTCTTTATGATTATGTTTAGTTGCGCATACAATACAATATTCTATGCTTTTAAATAAATTAAAACGCATTAAGCTTAATAAATGAGCCATTGACTTTATCAGAATTTCAGTATGTGTATTGGAATTGTTATGAATTGATGAAAAGAAGTGCCTCACTTAGAGAATTTTGAAAGAAATATGTACGCATTCATGTCAGTCGAGCCAACACTTTTACATACACAAATCAAACTAGATTTATATTTTCTAGCATAACAACGCGATCATAGCTTTTTCTCTTCAGTATGGTGCCCCAAAGCAAACAATATTTTACACTAAGCGCTCCATTCTTGGCGGCTGCTCGGCCTATCGACATATCGAATGACACTGAAAATGTTTAATGTTCCTTTCAATGATTTTGTCTTGCGATGTTTTTTAAGTCATTTAAGTTTTCGTGTTGCGCTCCAACTCTGGGTCGACTAGGCGTTGCGGATCAATGGCTAGCATACGTAATTTTTTTTTTAATTGCCACAGGTAGAGCACCGACGTAAATGGCACAACAAGAGTAACAACGGTAGCTTCAACACCTTTATCGTCTCCTCGATAGATGTTGGTGCGAGTCTGCATATGTACATATGTACGTATCGCACACCAAAGTAGTGTGTCTGTCATTCGATGCTTTAATGCCTTTTAACACTAATCGCATTACGAGCAATCAATTGTGATGAGAATATAAAAATATTTGTAAAAGGTTCACGAACGTATACACATTCATATGTATGTGCATTAGGGTGATCCTTAAAAAATCAAATGAACCAATTTTTTCAGTCTCATCCACTCAATCGGTAATACCACTATCACAGATATCACATATAAATTTTGGCCCCAGTTGGAGTCGGTAAAGGCGTGTCGTACAGGGGTCAAAGGCTAAAAGCCTATATGGAGACTCAAAAAAATTAAAAATATCTTTTTCATTTAACACCCAAAATCGATACTACAAAATTTGAAGATATCACACGTAAATTTTGGTCCAGATTGCAATCGGATAAGACGTTTTCAAAGGGTAATCTGAAGTTTGTCGGGGTCAAAATTTATGTGAGATATCTTCGACTTCGGTAGTATCGATTTTGGGTATGAGATGAAAAAAAAATTTATTTTAATTTTTTGAGTCTCCATAGAGCAATCTGAATTTTACCCCCTGCGACACGCCTTAACCGTCTCCAATCGGGAGAAAAATTTATATGTGGTATCTTCGACTATAGTAACATCAACGTAAAGGTTGATTCTAAGGAAATTTGATGTAAAAATATGCTTCCTACTTATAAGGACCACCCTAATGCACAAACGTATGACTGTAGGGAAGCAAACCAAATAATCAACTTCAAAACAAACACGATGCCATGAAATATTTGTGGCAAGTTTTTTGGGATTTTCTCACGTGTTTGTTACCGGCAGTCAGTTTGCCGGTTCATTATGCCGTTAACATTGTTGTTGCTAGAAGAGTTTATATTTACTCGCGTTTCTTATATCAACTAAATTTGTGACGCTTTTGTTTTGCTTCCAATAGCATTTCTTTAGTTGCACTTTTTAACAAAAAAAAAAAAATACAAAACTGAAACTCATCATTTTCGGGGTGTTAATGAAATGTAGAGATTTATGCGCTTTGAAAGATATTTTATGCTTGTCTGATGAGCTGCTTGGTTCAGGATTAGCTTGAATTTAGCCAATTTATGGTGTGTATCTAGGGCAACATTATTAGCAGGAAATGAATATATATTTTTTTTTTTCATTAATGAAAAATGCGTCACTGACTGAACCTGGAGTATGAATGTAGTATGTAGTAAAAATGTACCAATGGCTCCAAAACTGCCTACGACAATGGGAAAGGCATCTACGGGCATCTACGGGATATGCGATTAGTCTGTGTGCAGAGATTAACCTACGTAGAAATTACCGTAATGAGAAAATTCTAATATTGACTGATAACTAGGCGGCATCAAGGCCCTCTAGTCATTTGCAGTCAACTCTTCCTTGGATCTTGAGTGCATTGATAGGCTTAACATCCTGGCGGAGCACATTTCCATGCAACTGATTTGGATACCAGGTCATTTAGAAGTTGTTGGGAACGAGAAAGCAGACAAGTAGCCAGAACGGCGGCCGCCTGGTCGCCTATAGGGTCTGAGCTTTTCCTGGCGATTGGAGCTAGCACAATCAAGAAAGAGCTCGGTAAGGGGAAGAACAGACTCAGAGATCAACACTGGCGTAACACCGTAGGCTATGCTACGGTGAATGCTTACTGGGAGGCTACAATCTTACAAGGTACAGGGTAATCATAAACCTCCCCTCTCTACATTAAGGATAATAACAGATTTTCTGATGGGACACTATAGACTAAGTGGTCATCTACAAAAGCTAGGGTCGAACGACATATGTCGCTTCTGCAAGTTTATCAAGGAGATTTCCTTGCACCGGTTGCGAGAAGTTGTATGTATATGTTGGCTGAAGTGCTGTGAATAGGTGAAGACACAATAGATTTCTTCGTCGCAGTCCACACCTCTATCTCAATCTATCTATCTACCTATAAGGTGGTACAAAAAGCATGCGAAAAAAAGTAAAGTTGCAATTTAATGCCCTCACCCCCTGAGATAATAATGTTTTGAAAATATATATCCCTATTTTTTCTTTTAGAAATCAAAAAATATTAGTAGGCCGCTCAAATTTTCCCATAGAATAGTACTAAATTGTTTACTTAACCATTTTTTCAATATTAAATATTTTGAGGGTCCCCCATTGTATTTTTTAATTTGAAAAGAAAAAAACAAGGTGTATATTTTTTTCGATACTTTACTTTGTTTGGACCACCTTAATGTATAACCATTAAAGCTTTTGTAAACTGGCTACATAACAAAGTAAATAGTATACATGCATATGAAGGAAAGCAATGGTAATAATATTATTCATTTGTAGGGGGCGTAGCAGCATTTAAATTAGCGCGCCAGCAGAAAAAAATAATATATTGCAAAAAGTATTTATAAATGGACCTATACCTCTATGTGTCCGCATGAAATATTAGTCATCCTTATAAAGGAAAAAAATTATACCTATATAGGTAGGAGATCCTGCGTTAAGGAATAACTTGGAGTTAAGTATAATTATTAGTACACGTTTTTCAAATGGTGCCAACCCGTTTACTTGGTTTAGTGGTTTTATGCAGCAAAGAGCCCCTCTCCTCTGGCTTCAACAGCAGTCTTTAATTTATGAAGAATTTTACCTAAAACTTCTTATATCTTTCAGAAACTTTCACAAGATAATCGAAAATATAGTTTCCGGAAAAACGGATGCATTTCGTTGCACTGCGAGATATTCGCACAACTTCCAGTCCTTATAGTATTCATAACTTCAACGAAAACCGCAGTACGTAGCTCTCAATCCGACCGCTGTGCAGCTGGCCCAGAGTGATTTGAGAGCTACAGAAGTCTGCGTTTCGAAATATCTCGAAATATCCCGATTAGTGGTTAATTAGATTCCAGAAATGTATGTTAATGTATGTATTCAAATGGTTCAGGAAGTTGGTTTTGTATTAATCGTATTTCTACGCAAGAACTTGTATACGCATTTCACGCATTCAATAATGATGGATCGTCGTTGGATTTTTTCTTATTATTTGGCGCTCTAACCGCCTAATCGTTTTTGGCCGAGTCTAAAAAAGCTCGCCATTCGTTTCTCTTCTGCGGCAACTGACGCCAATTGGAAATGCCAAGTGAAGTCAGGTTCCTCTGTTACCACCAGCGGGTTCCGAGTTTAAGACTTTCAGAGATAGAGTGTCGGGGTCCATTGGAACGACATGGTCAAGCCAGCAGGGCGTTGGATTNCCAGCGGGTTCCGAGTTTAAGACTTTCAGAGATAGAGTGTCGGGGTCCATTGGAACGACATGGTCAATCCAGCAGGGCGTTGGATTGCCATGCTGACATTAGGTTTGTATAGTAAGCAATAGCCAGTACTAATTTGTACTGGAACCTGCAAATTTTTACTGGAAAAGCGTATGATAACCCAAAAAATTTGCAAGAGAGCACTGCATCGAGAGCGTAACAACACGGGAGAGCTGCAAATTCTTGCTAGTGAAATTTCTACTAGCAGAAATTAGCTAGCAGAAGAAGAAGAAGAATAAGAGTAAAAAGCCGCCATTTGTTGAATTGGTTCAGCACAAACAAAAGTAAAATGAGTAGAAATCAAAATATTAATGATGTACTGGACTGTATAAGTGCGTGTGTGTAAAGCNTTTACGCTCTATTTTGCTTTTACGCTCTCGCTGCTATGTTTTACTGGAGAAGTTACTATACAAACCGATTATTATCGGTGTTAATGCTTGTTCTTAAGTAAACGAAATTCTCGAAGTTATAACTGCCTACAGTGACGTAGATGTCAAGGCGTGAATGCGCTGATTGTTTGTTTAATGGCAGGAAATCCTTCGTCTTGACCTCGTTGACCGCCAAACTTCGCGGTTCTTCTTACCGATGATATCAATGTCATCGGCGTACGCCAGAAATTGCACACTCTTAAAAAAAATTTTTCCCAATGGGTTCAGTTCTGCAGCTCTTATTATCTTCTCCAACATCAAATTAAAGAAGTCACATGAAAGGGAGTCGCCCTGTCTGAAACCCCCTTTGGTAGCGAACGGCTCGGAGAGACCTTTCTCAATTCTGGCGGAGCTGGTGGTATTGCTCAACGTCATTTTACACAGCCGCATCGGATATAGGCAGTATTTTAGCACTAAACGCTTCGCATTAGCAGATTATCATATAAGCAGCGATAAAATGTGGTAATCGTAAACCGATTTTGCAGAAATTTTCTGTGATCATTTTATCTTGGCATGAAGAAAAGAGAAGGAAAAAATCCATAGATTGGCAAACTTCCACGCCCACTTTATTAGTGGTAGATATGGATCTACCACTATTATCCGATCTTAATATATTTGGTTTTTACATTAGTTTTTCTATGGCTGGTGATAATAAATTTGACCATCTTTCATACACGGTTTTCTCTGGTTACAACTATTTCTTCATTCTTAAGCAAAACTACTGAATGTAACATTTTTTACAAAAAACGGAGCAGGTTTTCGGAAGGTGTTTACACTGTGTGACACCCTCTTTAAAACGTCCGTAAGAAGTTTTATACTCCGCATTTTGAGCAATTGTCAGAGCAATCGCCATACCCTACATGCTCTCAAACCCGTAAATATTGGTAATGAGTTGCATAAGGGATTGTAGTGATTAAGTTTTAAGCCGTCAAATACTAATTTATATAAACATGTTCCTAAATTTACTACCGTCATCATCTTAAGAGCAAGTCATCCCAATTTGCCAATGTTATGGTGCTTATGTCAATATTAAAATTTAGTTTATTTGTAATGATCAAAACTACAAGCTCCCATAACCACACTGTTCGAACTAAATTATTATCGTTATTACTTATAGGAGGCCAAAGATCATTGCACTCCCTCACCCTGTTTGCAGGGTCGTTGTTTGAATACACCTGGCAGTTATTATTGTCACTGTCCGCCAGATCGGGCGGGCAAACACTGCGAGCAAATACGGCCACTGTGCTCACAGCCACTATGCAATGGTAAGTAAGCTTATCTTTATTTATATACGAGCGATTTGTACTTGACATGTATTTGATTATGTTTTAAAAATCTTACACTAATTTTAACTAATCTTATTATTTCCAAACTAATTTACAGAGGGCTGTTTTGTCAATACCACCATGAATACGCTACCATGCAGTGGGCATGGCACATGTGAGATGGGCGATGTGGGCACTTTCTGCAAATGCCATGTCGGTTATACCGGCACCTTCTGTGAGCATAGTAAGTAAAACAAAAAAAAAAACAAAAATAACTAGAACAGCGGGTAGAAGAATCGAATCATTTATAATCACCGCACAGGTAGCGTACGAAAGACTTCAGCAACAAACTTGCGCACAGCATTCGTTATTATTCGTATAATTTTCTTCTATGCAAAATTTTTAAATACTTTTTTATTAAATATAAAGCATCATTAAAAGTTTCATAAGCTTGAACAGCGATAAAATGAATCATCACTCAATCATAAAAAAATCCATATGAGCAAAGAGACAAAAACCCAAAATATTTTCCCACCATTTAAATATATCTACATAGTACATATATACATACATATCGTCGTTTAAAGTACAAAACCTCGTATCGTCATTCTGCAAAACGGCGTAACTGACATTGGCTGCCAAAAATTGGATTGCTCACACAAGCTCTTGGCTCAATCCTTATCCATTCGTCCTGAAATATACTAGCCAGAAATGCGATTGCTTTATAAAAAAGACAACTATTTTGAAATATGATTGTATTTATTCTCTAGAAAATAATTTATGCAACCTCACTTACGCGGTTTTTCATTATCTTGATAAGCGCTTTTGCATTTTGTTGATACGCAGTTTTGTACTTTAAACGACGATATCTATATACGTAGCCGATCAAAAGTAATTTCATCAGAACTTTTGATATGTGTATGTGTGTAGAGCATCAAAATACCTATAACAATGAAAATATACTAACCCAGCAAACATTTGGAGTCATAAATGAGTCTTTAAGGAGTCCTATTTCGGAGCCATTACGCTCATAATGAGCTCATTTAAGAGTCCGATACGAGGGTGTATCCCTTCCTCCGAATGTCGACTTATATGAGCTTAAATTCATATATCAAATGAGCCTCAATATGAGCCATATTGGACTCTTATTGGCCTCATATACGGCTCATTTTGGACTCTTTTAAAACAATTTTTGGCCTCATATAGGAATCATTTCAGACTCTTTTTAAGACTTACCGGCCTCATAAATTACTACAATCGGACTCTTATTTTACGTTATTCTTTGAGTCTTATGGAACTCACTATATTTGCAAAGGCATTCATCAAAAATTCCTTTCAAATAATATACATACATACTTACGTGCATATACACATTCCAACATGCATTAAATAGCAGCAGCTGCAGCTAAATTTTGTTCAATTTTTGTTTTCTAATTATTTTCAATTTCTGTATGAACAAGTTTAGATATAAATTTCAAATCTTTATTGTTTTTATATTCGCACAAGGTGCTGGCTCATAACTTGGATCATATATGAATCCTAAAAGATTCATATAAGAGTAAACAATTTTTTGTTTTTGAAACTCATATTTCTTACCCACCTAGGACTCCTGTCGGACTCATATATTCTGAACGCTCAGAATATGTTTGCGGGGAAAAGTTACTTTAAAAGTACAAATAAACAAACTAGGAGGAATGATCTTGAAAAAAGGCATGATGCTAAAAGAAGCGTTTTAATGAGCTTTGTACCACGATTGTTTATTAGGAAAAATTGAAAAAGTAACAAAGTCTAAGCGGTAGAAGTTATAGCAGCTATTTCGGAGATCACCACATCTCCTCATCAGACCTCTTTTTTCTAGACTTCAGCAGGGATCGAACCTGCGTAATCGATGTTCAAAATCAGAAGCGTTAACCACTGAGCTATGTAGCATCCCGTAAACTCTTGTTGCTAATTCATTTTCCTTATTCAACCAACTACATATCAAGTGCAGCTGATTTGCCGCTATTTAAACTTGACAGCAAATGGATGTATAGAATTGACAACAACAACCACACTAAATAAAAATATTAAAAATACAAGTGTTCTAATGATGCCGTTCTTCAAAAGTTTTCTGTTCACTATACCATACCAGAAAAAAGTGCGAGACTAAAGAATTTTCGCAAGGCAATTTCAATTTTTTTTTTTGTGGAGTCGAGCTCGACTTTTTACATTTTTTTCGATGTTCTTGTATTCGGAAGAAAATATTTTGTTCGAAAATTCATTGACTTCAAGTACTCTACTGTTCAATCAAAGGATGGAATGCAAATGCCTGGAAATCACTTAGAGCTTCAGAAGTAGTCTTGAGCTGAAATAGCAACAAGACTTTTGAAATACGAGTAGAGTTTTGTTATAAAGAGTAGACTGCATCACCAAAAAAGTTGCGGTTTTTGCACCTGGATTACAAAATGTATTGTATTTTAAGACGTCCACCAAAATAGTTCTGAAAAATATTAAGATTTAAGCGAGCTGGACCGATTTGAAAATACCTCCAAAAATGGAGTTTTTTATGAATAAAAACAGTTTCTTAAAGAACTTTTTGAAAAAGTCCCCGCAGATGACAAAACAGATTAGGTTTAAAAAATCTGTATAAAAATATTTTCAACGGAATCGTAATAATGAGGTGTTTGATGCTGTTTTTTATTTTTCAAAGATTGCTTTACGAAAAACTTAAATAACTGAGCCAAAAGTATTCTGATTGTGACTTGTGGGATCTCGGCCAAAATTTCTTAGGCGTTTTATTTATGTGCAAAAAAAGTCATTCGTGTCCCAATTTTTGCAAATACCAGCACATCTTAATTCAACTTTGAATGATGTTCTTTCTCTGTCATTCTTTTAATGAGCTTATTAGCAAAGAAATAAAAAGGGTGAGAAAATACCTCTCCAATGATACCTCACAAGTCTAAATAGGAAGAGTTTAGGTTCAGTTATCAAGTTTTTCTTATAGCAATCTTTGAAAGAAGTTAAAAAACAGCATCAACAATCTCATTTTTACGACTATGTTCAACATTTTTTTTAATTTTTTAAAAATATTTTTATATAAATTATTTAAATTTAAACTGTTTTGTCATTTGAGTGGATTTTTTCTAAAAACATCTTTAAGGAACTATTTTTATTCATAAAAAACTCCATTTTCGGAGGTATTTTCAAATCGGTCCAGCTCGCTTAAATCTTAATATTTTTCCGAAATATTTTGGTGGACGTCTTAAAATATAATAGATTTTATAATTCCAATTCATTTCTCAAACTTTAGACTTTTTCAAGGAAAGGCAGTCATATCCCGACAATTGTTAACATAAATGCTGTCTTCCAAAACATCCAGTTTCAGATTTGATGTATTGTGGAACGATTCTCCGACATCCCTTGTCAAATTTGGTCTGGAGACAAACCAGTTTCGGCGTTGTGCCATCTTCAGAATCATTTTTCGTTCTCATAAACCAATGACTTGATGTAAGTCAAAAGAAAAAATCTAGTGACATTGAATCACACGAAGCGTTCTCCAAATCTTTTCTCCAATATTTAAGTAGATTGTTTAAAGTGCAATAAGATATGTGGCGTCATTCTTTTGGAAAACCATACTTCCATTTTAGGCTCAATTTAACTGAGAGATCCTCAATCATGGCTCTACATCGGTCGCCATTGATGGCAACGTTAAAGTAGTAAGGTCCATCGATTTTCGAAACCGTAAAGCACACCATGGTGCAAACAGTAAGCCTTTTTCGATGTAACGATGCCTAACAATGTATATCTCCTAAGTTTCCTATCTACATACAAAGAAAATTGCAATAAGTCAGTGCACTTTTTTTCAGATCCCAAAAACCCGAAATTTGGCAATATCTCAACAACTTTTCTACTTTTTTGTATTCTTATTTTGTATTCGGATTTAACGGAGAATTTTTCATAAAAACGTATACAAAAATTTTGCGGTTGGCCAACAGCTTCCAAAGAAAATTGTAAAAAAGTGAGTGCACTTTTTTCAGATCTCAAAAGCTCGAAATTCGACTATATCTAAAAAACTGTTCTACTCCCTTACATTTTAATTTCGTATTGCAATTCAGCGAGAAATTTTACATTAGAATACATATAAAAATATTGCTGGTCGGAGATTTTTTTCATTACTGTAAACTTTGAAATCTTAGAAAACAAGCTATCGAAATGAGCCATTTGCAAAAAACAACAAAAATGGTACATTGGTTCAAAAATTCAAATTTTTTTTATTAAAATTTTTTTGCAAAAAAAAATGTTAGGGAAAAATTATAGTTTCCACCAAAAAGTGCAGAAAGAGTTCTAATAGGTCAACAGTTTTTGATTCTCCAACATAAGTGTGACACGAGATAAGAATTTTAAGAAAACTTGTCACTCTAAGAATAAGGGCTGAAATTTGCATGTTTAAACTTGTATAACTTGACAAATAACCGTGGAAGATAAAAATTATTTTACACATGGGTTACTAGTAATCGTAGCAACAATGTGGTGGAGTTTGAACAAAATGCTGGCATAAAATGTTTTTCCTGGTACGCTTGACGAATTTTGCCCCACATGCTATTTATGCGCAAAACGAAAGCAAAGACAAATACATATACTTTTGTAGAAGTTGAAAAAATGTTAATTAAAATTTTTTAANGAATTCCACAACATACGAGTCTCTACAGCAAAACTAAGAAGATGTTGCATGCCGACAAAACGTAGCACCAAACAGTGCAGCCGCCGCAGTGTTGCCCGAAACCCAATTAACTCACAAGCGCTAACTTTTTTTCAACAAGTCTTCTTCAGCAACGCTTAAGTTTTGTTTTGTTTTTCACTTCTTAATTTCGAACTCGGTTCAATACAATGTCCTTGCTTTGCTTGTTATTTTTTATTTGCTTTTCCGTTCCTGATCGACTTACGTTTTTTTTATCTGCTCTTTTCATTCTGCTTGCAGATTTAAATGAGTGCTCGCCAAATCCTTGTCGAAATGGTGGAATTTGCTTGGATGGTGATGGGGATTTTACATGTGAATGCATTTCGGGTTGGACAGGTAAGCAAGCGGATAGTTAACAAAATGGAACGAAGAAGAAGTAAAAACATTAACAAAGTGGAAAAAAGTAACAGCTTTTGCAAAACAAAAAAGCTATACGAGCAATTGGGACTGTGCCGGCTATAATGAGTTGGTATTATGAAAATACATTTTTTTTCTTTTAGGTTTGAATATTCCTACATATGTATGTAGGTATGCTTCTAGAATGACTTTAACAAGTGTAACGCATGTTAAAAGTTTTGAGTGCGGAAAATTGTAATACAATAAAAAGAAAGCGTTCTGTCGGATTATCAGAAAGTAACACGAGTATCTGCTGTGAATGACAGTGATTGGAATACTGATAAGTTCATTAATTAATACCACTGTCCAACAGCGTTTTTGCATCCATGGTATAGTTTCGAAACATCAACGGAGAAAGGTTGTGATTTTGAATCCTCGAAATCACCGACGCGTCCCCTACGGCCTTAACAGCAAACGTCGGGTACATTCTTTTAAGCGGATGTCCGTTTAAGAAAAAAGTTGCCGACTAAAGATATGTATTTTCCCCCCAGAAGCCAAATCTGTGTTAAAAACAAGTATGTACCATTAAAAATAAATGGACTTCCGGTCAGTTAAAACCACTTCTGCACAAAAGTTGACGTCGATAATACAACCAAAACATAAAGCATCCCCAACTCGGGATTCATAGTTTTCCGTTTTCCAACAAAAACATTTACGTCAATTTTAGGAGTTCAGGATGGGTTTAAGCGCAAAAGTCATTTAGAGATTGAAAGAGGCACTTCCAAGAAAAATTTAAAAAAAAGTTGCATAACTTTATGCGCAGAATCCGAATCTGTGGAAAAACGTGTACATCCGAATTAAAAAAATGGACTCCCGGTCAGCTTAACCCATTTTCGGTCGAAGCCGGAAGTCGGAAATAGGACCAAAATAGGGAACATTTCCGACTTAGTAGTTGATATTCTTAAGTTTTCCAATAAAAAAACTATTTTCTTCATTTCAGAAGGGGTAAAGGGGTGGTGTGTAAGCAGCTTTTATTAGCACGCCAATATAAGTACTTAAAAATCGGCATATCTTGAATAAATTCTTCCATTCTCTATTACATTTAACAATTTCCTTGTCCACAATGGGGTCACGAAGGTAAAGATGATGTTTGGCAAGTTAAGACCGCCAAGAAAGTCGAGACTCATTATCACTGCGTTTTTTTCGGAAGATATTTTCTAGCTCTTTCTTGAGAAGGAATCCTAAAGGGATCCCTGTTTGAAGTTTTTGAATTCCTGAAAACTTTAACGTTGCTAAAGTTCCCGAAAGGTATTTTGAAGCTTATTTAACTTTGTGACATTCCCCCTACAAGAAGGTAAGCGTCTGGAGTTCCTCTCTTGTAAAAAATGAATATCCACTATACATCCAAATACAAACGAAGCATACGCCATAAAATATATAAGGCAGTGCCAATTTCTGATAAATAGACTAATTCGGTTCTTCGACTATATAAACACCTCGCCAAATTTTTCTGGCCTCACGCTGATATAAAATATTTTTTTTTATGAAGAGAACATTAAAGCAGCACTAAATTCATGAAAAAATTGGTGTGGAGTTCTAAAATTACAAAATCCGGCTTTACTTTCTGAACTTGAGATAAGTTTAGTTGGATACCAAATCCAAAAAAAAGTATTGTGGGATTGTTTGTACTCCTTTTGTGCAAAGACCTTTGAAACCTTCTTCATTCCTGGAAGCTCATCTAACGCTGCTTTTGGTACTTTTTCCGAAACTGATATACTAAAGTCTTTATCCATCCGAAAAAGAGATGATGTTTTGTGAAAAGCTTTTTCAGGGCAAAAATACACTCGGACGCCTGATGTTGCCTGCTAAGGGGACACCGCTTAGAGGAAAAACTTCGAAGGAGAAATTTGAGGTGCGGTAGGGTGGTAATAGACAATTGCGTCTGGCGCAAAGGGGCGAACACAACCACACCTTAAAGCTAAAAAAGCATCCCCGCTAAAACGGGATCCATCATAGTGGGCGAACTACTCGGTCCTCTAAGTAAAAAGACCTTCGATTTTCAGGGCTATGCGGATGATATTGTCATCCTAATCAAAGGCAGTTTACAAAACACTTTCTGCAGCCTCTATAGAATATGCTGAACATAGTCGCCATTTGTGTGGGAAAAACGGGTTAATCGTAAATCCCATTAAAATCAATATAGTCATTTTCTCTTGGAAAAGTAGAGGGACAAGTTTCTGGAACGGTTCCTTCAAATATAAAAGAAAGATTTTTCTCACTCATGGAATCCGCACCTAGATAGCGCTATTCAAAAGGACAGGCCTTCCCTTCTAACTGGGCCTGCCGAAATCCTAATGGGCATCAAAACTAAACTGGCAATGAAGATGAATTATGTCCATTCTAGCTCATACTGCGTGGAAGAAGGCAGAACTAATGCGATGAGAACAACACCAACTGCGGCTCTCGAGGCGCTTTTTTACCCACCTCCTGTACACATTAAAAACAAATAAGAGACTCTCCTATTTACAGCAAGGCTCATCCCAGGGGATAATGGGGAAGACAAGAGGCTCATACACCTTTATACTCTCAGGGTCATAGAATAAGAAATTCAACTTCACAAACAATGTCAAGGTATTTTTCCCCTATCAGATGAAACTAGGATAACGAGGAACCGAAGCCCCGGAAGTACTGCGAGGTAGATGCCATTAAATTATTTCTAAGGCTGTAAGTAGAAAGTGGGGCAACTAAGAAACACATATACATACACTCTGACAGCAGAAACCGGTTTACCTCATTTGGGTATCTGAACACAGTGGAAATATGGGCAATGAAGTGCCAGATATTCCCGCCAGAAAAGGGGCTAAACAGGGATTATTGGGCTGTACTGGACTAGTATGGAAACTTACAGACAAGCTAAGTCCTTCATCCCGTATGTGACGAGAAGGACGAAGTAATAAGTGTTACAGGCTTTCTTATCTGCCACTGCGGATTATGAAGCACTTGTACAACAAAGGATTTACTAAATCTGACCAGTGTAGGTTGCGCAACGAAAAACAGAAAACAGCAGAGCAAATTATTTGCCACTGGGAAACCCTCGCTAGAGGCAGACATAGGGCACTTCGGCAAAATACGCTATGTTAGTTCTTACTTTAATGCGGTGCGTAAAAAACTACACCAGGTTGGCTCAATCAAGTACAGTTATTTGCCACTACACAAATAAGAGAAGCTATTACCAATAAGTATAAGGAAAGATTTCCAGAAAAGTTATTTGGCTTCCTTTTAAATGTACCTACAGTGGTGTGATTGTAACCAATGTACTTTCAGAATAAAAAAAAAAATCTGAACAAATACAATCATAAGCAGTTTTCCATCATAATTTGTTTCTTCAGTGTAAAAGGGCCTTATTTAACGTTTTTGTTTTTTTTCGGAGTAGTTGTAAAACTTTATAAAATTTTTTTTTTTAGTTACGAATGTTTTGAAAGGAATGGTAATAAACAATGAGTTTAATATACTGACGTAACTAGTAGTTGTTGTTAACTTCTAATTATTAGGTCCTAAGTGAAAAAGCCAACGATATATGTTGTTGTTAATGAGTTAATCCTTTTCTATATTAGGGTAATGATATATACGTTTGTGTAAATATGGACAACCTGTCAACTATACATATACTCGTATCTTTAGAAATAGATTAAACTTAATTTTTTCTCTTGAAAATCATGTAATTTTAAATTACCACTCATAAAATCTTTGATTCTTCTCAAATATTTTCAAAGGAAGTTTAAAGCTTATTAAAATTGAAAAGTATTACATAACTGGCATGGTAACGTGAAAATTTATATTTGTCATAGACTCTTTGTCTAAAAAATCGGTGAATATTTTTATAAAAAAATAATAAGCAAAGCTAGCGATCTCTAGTACATATAATGCTTATTGGCGCACTTTAAAGTTGCTTACTCGATTGAAACCATTTACTAGCATTTCATACTATCTATTTATTGTCACATTCCTTTAAATCTCTTAACCGACTACGATAATAAAAAACAAAAATTATGTTTATAGTTTTCCTTTTGTGATCATTTGAATAAGCGAACGCAAGTAGCCAAATCAGTAGCACCAAAATATTTGATTAATCGAAAATGAAAGGTGGCAATTAATTTTCGCTTCTATAAGCGAAAAATGCATAATATCATTAACTAATTATAATCGTATCAATGATTAAGTATAATCGAATATTGCGAGCATACTCTAAATTGATTATGCAAATTAGTTCTCAAGTTTATGCGAAAACCGAAGCGTTTACGCTTAATTGATTAAAAATTGTCGTGATTTGTCTGAATTAAAATATTTCTTAGCTTTAAGAGCCAAGTCATGGAATTCATAGTGGTGATGGAGTGTTTAAAAAATTAAAATTTCGCCGAATTCAGGCGAAAAAATGCTAAAATGAAGAGGAAAGTATCTGCAATAAAATCAAATTTGTACAAAATTTGGATGTAGATGCGTTTGTTTTTAAATTTCCTCCTAAGGGGCTTATAAGACCATTTTGATGAAATTGTACTTTTGAGATTCGGTTAGGTGGCATGGTTGTCTCCACTATTAGTAGCACACTGAAAATAGAATGCCAAAACTGTGGAAGAGATGAATTTTGGTAGAAAATCATTGCGTTCCCACAGCAAAGTTCTTCAAGCGGCTGATATACATACATACATATATTCCCGAAAATTATCAGAATAAGTCAGTAAGAAGTGAGTCCAAATAAGTTTAAACAGTTATTTCTTATTAGCTGGGCACTTGGGTAAAAGGTGTTAAGATAATTCGACCTCATCATCATCCATGCGGCTGTTGCAGTAAGGGATTGAAAGGATGTTAAATCTTACCGCATGGATTCCAATCGGGCAGCAGTTTAGACTCACACTGTTATCGAGTCCTGTTTAGTTTAAGAGCTCCTTAGACTGTCCCAAACCTGCCGAACTCGCATTTGTCCAAAATAAGGCTGCGTTTTCGGTAAGTGCGTTGACACAAGTAGCGCCCAATTTATGTAAATATCGAACGTTCACATTATCAGGAATAAGGAATTTTTCCTTGCCTTTTACAATTAAAGGTTGAAAAGGCAACATCAAATGGGTATACATATATGGAATCAGAGAAAGCTATATCGTGGACATTCTTAAACGAATATAATCTATCTATTTAGCAGAAAAAAGCCAATTTCCATAAAATCCGTTCCCTGGATATAAATATACTATCCAAAGGCTTTTCCAGAAGTTTGGAGTTCGAGAAATCTAAATTTGCACTTTATTTTTTACAAAAAGCAGCCGCTAGGGCGCGCTATGATGCAAAAACATGCTTTTTGGATCAAAATGCACCCAGCGGCCATTTTTGGCATTTTAGTCAGAGCCACATCAGTTTTA